TGTTAGTCAAATATAAAATGGATAAATATGAAAATGAAAGAATTTCATAATTAATGGAAAAAAGTATTATCATTTTAGTAGGTCGAGGACATATTTCTGGAAGCAAGAGTTCTACATCTCCGAGAAAAAGGAAAAAAAAATTTTTTTTGGAGACATAACTCAAAACGTATACATTTTAGAGTAAATTGAATATATCATCTACCAAAAGGTTATCAACTTTCCAACAAAATCGTCCAAATAGGACCAGTATTAGCAAAGTTACAACGTATTATAAAACAAAGAAGTGGACCTTGAAAAATATATTAGGTATTTTTGAAAATTCAGATCCGAAATTTTTACTGCATACATATTTCGTATATGAGGGGTAAATGAAAGTAAAAATAATATTTCTTGTTTCTAAAAATAATATATGAGTGGTTAAATTGATAATCTCAACAATTTATAAAAGAAAAAATTAACATCGTTTATCTTATCAATTGTTAATAATGTCTATATTTGATTTTGCTGTCAATAGATAACCCAATTTTTATTTTTTGAATTTTAGAGACTGATTAAAATTTGTCAGAAATCAGTAGGAAATTCGTGTGATAGTATAAACCGGATATTTTTATTTACAATCCTTTGATGTGACAATCTGTACACATCATGAATAATTATATGGTTAAGAAAGACTTATTTCTTATATTATCGAGTATGTTTTCAATATTATATCTATTACAGTATTAAGAAATGATATTAATATATAACATTGCATTATTCCAAGTTTCTTTGTTGGAGAGAAAAACAGATCAACACCTGTGCAAAGAGCTGCCTAGTTGTGCCAACTGTAAGGTAGCCACGTGGAATGGAATTATATTATTTATTACCGACGGCATTGAATATTAAAATATATCTCAACTAACAGCTAACAGACTAATCAACTGATTACAAATCCCAACATGGAAACTGGTCCAGACCAGTTTAGCTCGCCTCCTATTAACATGGAAATCACTGTCTAGGGGAATAGATTTATCATTACTTGTATCGGCTAGTTCTATTAATAAATAAATTATAATATTGAAAAAAAAAGAGAAAATTATATAACATAAAAAAATAATCAACATAGAAGAACTCACCTCTTTTGAGCTCGGTTACTACATTGTCCTGAAACAAACAAAAACAGATTATAAATATTTTTCAAAAATAAAATCAAGTATTAATTAAAAAGTAGGATACAATAACCAAACTATTTCACTGTTGTTATTTTTATTTAGCTTTATTTTTATATCATATATTTTCTGAACGATTCTATATATGACTGGAGCTATCTTGGACCAGAGCATTAACATATTGAGGAGCACTAATAAAGAGCTGATTACAGAAACTGGTCAATCGATATCTCATAATATAAAGGAGAAGAAGTTAAGATGTGTGGGGCATGTAGTTCAGAGCAATATATCTGGAAACTACTACGTAACAATGAATACCTCAATAGAAGGCAAAAGATCACGAGGAATACCAAGAATCAGGTAGATAGGTCTAATCAACAAAAATGGAATAGAGCCGCACACATATAACTGCAAAGAAATATCCCAAAATATGCAGAGATGGGATAAGGCTGGTTGAGGAGGCAAGATATCTACAAAATCTTTAAAACTAACAAAACATAAATTCTGACAGGGGAATTTTAATTTTGAATACTTACTTATTAATCAAAAGGATTTCTAGCATAAGTTATAAATCTTAGCTACAGTAAGGACCGTAAAGATGTTCCTAACCAAAACGATAAACAAAATATTACGATATAATAAATTATATATTTAAATTTATAAGACAAATTTAAGAACAATGAAAAGAAAATCCCTCTTGATGGGCCAGAGAATAAAACATGAAGTAATTATATTAAAAGGAAAAAATAACTTTTGCAAATTATATAAAAACTAAGCCGTGTGCTGTTGACCACACGATATAAGTGAAAACATGAACAAGGCGCGATTAATATTAAATATAAATTATAAATAATAGTTCATTATAAAAAGGACGAAATGTTGAACAATTCCCTTAATTACAGTATGCAGATCTTTAATCCATATCTTCATAAATTCGTTATGGTTTTTGACCCTATTTTTTTCCTTTTCGACTCCCTAAAACGGCGTTGCTTTTAGATACAATTTTGAATAACAGCTCATTACAAAGAGGATGAAATGATGAACATTTTCCTCGCCAACATTATACGGATCCGATTTTTGGTTTTTGAAATATTTTAATCTATATTCAAAAACACTTCAATTAGCGTTACATATCGAAATCTAATTCACGCTCCACAAAAAAGTGATAATCACACCTGAAGAAGTTTTCACTTCAAAATTGAAATTCTCCTTCCTAGTAAAGTAATTTATCAAAATGAAAAATATTATATCATAAAATTTTTAACATATTTCTATGTTGAGGTGCATATAATATTACGAAGTATAATATAAGGAAAATAATCCTGGAGTGCTGAATATACCTGGGCCCTTTGAAGTAGCTTTGTTAGTCTGGATAACGAAGGCCTGCCTCTCTCTCTAATAAGGATTTATTAATGCCCTCGGAAATAAATTTATTGCCACCCCTTCCAGTGTATACTTTATTACATTTTTTTCGCTACTTTATCGTTTCACTTTATTGCCGGGATTAACCCGGGATGAATCGGATAAAGGACAGGGGAGGGATAGAGGAAGGTGCGTCTATTCCTGTCAGCTAATCCGCCGTGCCAGGCACCTTTCGTACGAGGCTATTTATCGACCAGGAAGCCACAAGTGGATAGTGGGTAAGGATATCCACCCCGCGGCAACAAGTGGCTAGCAAACCTAGATGTCTGGTGTAAGCGTTAAGCAATTTCTTACCGACATTTTCAATAATTCTAGTCTAGTTAATGTTATTTCATTATTATTATCTCATTCTATTCATTTTTGCCTATTTTTCTAGTATTGTAATATACTGGGTATCTCGGTTCTTAATGGCCAAACACTAGGGGATGATTCTCGACAAAATTTCCAACAAAAAAGCTCGTTTGATATCCGGGTCGATACCAACAAAAAAGTGATTACGACGAATTTCGTGATGTTTTAAAGTTAGTCACGGTTTTTATAGAATGAGAAGAAATTGCTCAAAAACTGTCCAAGATAATTAAATAAGTAAACCAACGTAAAATAGACAAACTTTTCTCGGTGAAAACAGAGATTACATTTACTAAGGTCGACGATAAAAGGGATTTACGGCCATTGTACAGAGATATACTGCTGGTATATTGGTACTGTAACAGCAGGAGTACAGCAATTATATTATAACTCTTGAAAGTCCGTTTTATCATCGACATTAGTAATTTAATCACTGTTTTCACAAAGAAAATTTTGTCTAATATACGATGGTTCACTTTAAATTTAATTATCCTGAACGGTTTTTAAACAATTCCTCCACATTCAATAAAAACCGTGACCATCTTTAAAAAAATACAAAATTGGTCTTAATTCCTTTTTCGTTTGGAATCGGCTCATGCAACAGATGAACTCTTTTCTTGGAAATTTTGTCTAAAATCATCCTACAGAGTTTGCGCATTAACAACTGAGAAGCTTATATATAATTAATAATTAATGAGAAGCCTGTAAATAAGTCTAAAATGAATGACCGGTGAAATGAGTTTTAGTCGATTATGTAATATTTAAATATAAATAAACGATAAGCTTATTAATAACAACTAAAGAAAAGTGGATTGAATTGCTCAGTAGTATTTCAAATGAATAAATGTGAACATATGAATATAATGACGTGAAAACGCTTGTTGAGAAACTACCCACTGGTAGTACTCTAATAATATGTCTACAAAAGGAGATCACGGGGCCATCTTCTTTTCAGACGCCTCGGAGGGTTATCAGGAATTGAAGAGGAAGCAAGGTTAGAAACGAGAGGGTTGGGATGATTCTGAAGTTTATTATGGAAGGATAGGTGTCTGGATTGCGCCAGATTTGAAACATTTAGGTCATTATGGATGGTTTTATTTGTAACAAAGTAGGAAGCATTGAGGATTTTACAAAGGATTTTGGATTGGATACGAAAGGAATTCGATGGTTTAGTGGAGCCCCATAGCTCAACTCCGTAAGTCCAAATAGGCCTTATTATAGTAATGTATGTGTGCCTTTTGTAATTAATTGGAAGTTTAAATCGTTTGTCAAGTGCTGAAATAATCGGAAACATCAAGCGGTTTCTTGTCGTTTCAGTCTGGTATCAGCTCAGTATTTATTAATTTTATTCTTTTGCACCATTTGCAAATGCGCAGTCGCAGTAACAATGTAACCTTTTGTTGTTTTTTTTATTTTGCTAGAAATTGGTCTTGATTTAGTTATTTGTGAAGCAGCAGATCTCTGGGCCATTTTCTTTCTAATGCTCGTCAAACAGGTGAAAGAGAGAACGAAAATGATATTGAGGTGATTTTGTGTTGAAGAGAGTAATTTGAAAGGAGGTGCGATAAAAATTTCTCGAAGAAGAACCTCAGAGTCATGTACAAATTGGTCTCAATATAATTTTGTAGATTAGTAGCTTATTTTGTAAGTTAAGTGAAGATACGTACCTATATTGCAAGAGTTGACTATATTGCCTAACCATCTCTAGTCTTTCAATCGGCAAAAAAAAAAATGAAAGAAAATCAAAATGTTACAATAAATCGTGGTTCATAATTCAAATTAATAAATTCTTATTTTCATTTAAAATAAATATTACTATGATGAAAAAAAATAATAAAATCAATATTTTTCATTTATAATGTTTAAAACTTATTTTATTTTAATTAGATTGCCGGTAATAGCGATTTTTTTTTGCAGACATTTTTAATTAATTTTTTTTTTTTTTTTTTATTTTAAAAAATCTTGTTTCGATAGCAATATTAAAATGCATGACAAATATCAATGTTTTTCGAACATTTCCACGATTCGGAGATCTTTTCAGTTAATCGCGGAGTTTTTACTTGCTTTTCCTCATAATTGAATCGACAAATGAGTTTATTATCACCTGATCCATCGAAACCATCATTAAGTAATAGACGAAGAGACTAAAATTACAAAAATAGATATTTAATACATAAGTAATGAGAAACATTAACATTCCATGTTGTTTACTGCATGCTAATACACCTTAAAGATCTTGAAGTTTACAAACAACAATGGGCTGCTTCGATGGCGGTAATTGATATTCCAGCAGTGAGTTGGGCGATGGAATTAAATTTCCGGGCTGGACCAATCCTAAGCTTAACAAGCCCTGGATTCCAAAGAGCTATTTCTGACCAACCTACCTGCTCACTGACTCGTCAGCGAATGATAGCATCCATTCTATAATTATATACGAAGCAAATACGAAAAGTTTATATGATAATTAATATTTTATAAATTTATAATTTTTAACTTTTATCTACTGTATATCTTACGTCTGTGTATAAACCACATTTGTTAATATTTAGAAAATAAGCAATTAATATACAAGTTAATTACATATTCTTTTATGAAAGACATTAATACAAAAAAATCCAATAATATCTCCCTTTTCTAGAAATATTGTTAAGACCGACATAATGCTAGAATTCTGGGTTATATGTAAATTTATAACATAATATTGTAATTTTTTTTATTGATTTTTTCTTGTAAACACGTATAAAAATAAATAAATAATATAAAAAAACTTCATGGACTTAACAACATCAACATACTGCTTAACTAAATCGCTGCGTAGACTAAAAAGGAGCTGGAAGTGAGACCTTTTATGAATCAAGGAAGGAATAGCTACTGCTAAGAACTATTCTTTCCAATGTCTGAAATTTCATAATCATAATTTTCCAGCGCATCCGTTTATTGTCACTTTCATCTCTGACAGGTGCAAATTGAGAAACGAAGAGAGAGAGAAAATTGGCAATATAAATAAAACATTTATTTTAGTTTTATTATTTTTTATACTCAAGTTCTTAAATTGACAGAACGTTTAGATAAAACTGTTTTAAACATGAAAGTTCTGAAAATGTTTACTTGAAAAGTTGCAAGAGAAAATGCAAAAGACTTTAAATCTACCGATAATAAAAATCCCGATGATATAGAAAATTCTTAAAAATAATTTTTTTTTTTCTGTTTCAAGCCCTGGTTTCTACTTTACATTGATAATGTTGTTAAAATATTATAAATTGATATTGTGTTATGTACTGGATTTATGTTTATGTATGTACTATACAATGTACATGTATATGGATGTATTATACTGGATGTTGCGGATTTAAGATTTAATTAATTTTTTTTTTTGAAAGGGAGGGCTTTTTTTAGGCAATATTATAATCTATAATAAAATAATTTATTCTGTATATACGTGAAGAAATTATAGTCGATTTGAAATAGAAATCTTTAATGAATTATTTGCATTTATTTATTTAATAGTTGATACAAACATTAAATATGCAATTTCACTTTTATACGACTTTTTATTTCGAGCTATACCTGTCACATATATACAGAGACACCCACAAACCATTTTGCGAGACTTGGTTATTTGGACTCAGTAGAGCTCAAACAATGAGTTTCCGTTGAACACTTAGATCACAATACCGTCCCTTACTATATATTTCATATATAGGTAAGTGAAATTAAAAATAAAAGTATAATTTGTTCATTATTATTCATGGTGTGTTTTATTACTATTTACTACAGTAGAGAACCAACATAATTATTAACTAATTCTGCTTTAGTAATCATAAAGCTTAGCATATAGTCAAAATCGATTTTAGGGTTCTAGTGAGATATCTTTTCCTGGAGAGGAACGATAGGAGTAGATTGCCGGGTTAGAGGAAGGCACGCTAGAAATGTGAGGAGCTTATTTTGAAAACGACTAGGACAGGTCTCGACAGCTCCCAAAATACCTCGGAGCGAGTATTTGAGTGTTAGTGTGAGTGTCTGTGAGGGCCCACGCAACCAGTTTTATGGATACTTTTAGCCTCACTGCTTTGGGCCGGTCGGTATTCCCTTACATCCCAATTCTTCCAGTATGTCTAGTATCGCCTCTTCTGGAGTGATTTTATTTCTATGCTTTCTTTATATATATATATATATATATATATGTTACATATATTAAACGTTACAAATAATGAAAAAAAAACGCTACAAATTATTACACATTAATTTATTATTTCAAAAAAACTTCTGCTAAGTAAGGTCAGTATAGCTTCCTCACCGTTTTCATTGGCTAAATTATATCTATAATACAAGGTATACAATTTTTCTTATGAGAATAAAATCTCTGAGAGAAGCCGATTCCGAAATACAGTTACCCTTCAACATATTATTGGACTTGTCCACGAATTTCGTTTATCAGCTAATATTAAAATGCGAAAGAGTGCCGTATTCGAAGATTCAATATTTGATAATTCTTAATTTAAAAAAAAATACCAATGCATACTCAACATGCATCGGTTAGGGCAGAAGGTCGTATATAACAATTGATTGTTTTACAAGAAAGCATAAAAACTAATTATTTCTTTATGCTTTATTAGTATATTTTATTGTCCTCTGCTATTTTCCATAGTAGCGGATTACTTATATCAGTTGCATACTACAAAATGTCACCTTTAGCACAGATAGAATAAAAGTTGAAAATTTCTACATACGACATTTTGCACTAATAGCACTGATATATACTTAATAGATATGTTTTCACTCGTAAGATGGATGGAACTAGAAATCCATAAGAAAAGTTCAACTTGTTTGTTTGTTCGGAGTTAACGAGACTAACACTTTTCTTCAGTCAGAACAAGACTAATTAAGATGGAACATAAAAATATGAGTGAAGCTCACACAACTTCGATATTTAAGGCAGAAATCGAGAGCAAGACGAACTGGTTTAACTTCAATTGAAATAAACACGGATAATAATCGAAATGGGAGAACCATCTTTGAATGACTTTGAAATCAAATTTCAAAAATATTACCCCGTCAGACTGAGAGAATATTCTAGTAGAACCGTGTGAGCTGAAATATAGTATGTTGGCTTTAAAAGTTTTTTTAATATAGATAGATAGAAAAACAACTATATTCTGAGACAAAGTCCCTTTAAAGTTATACGTACAGAATTTTAAATTTTGGATCAAATTTATATTTATATTACAGTGTGGAGACTGCGAAACCAGTCTGGACTCGCAATAATCCAGGAAAATAAATTTTGTCAACATTTCGAATTTCTCTTTTCCATTTGATGACATTTGGAGACTCAACCAAAACTTGACTGATTAACATTCAAAGCTGTCCAGTAACTTTGATAACAGTCGCTTCTTCAGGTGTCGTAAGATAAAGGTGGTGTAACGTGATTACGGAAGAAAGGTAGGACATAAAAATGTTGTTTTTTTTTTTTTTTACTAAATACTTATTTATAAAACAGAACATTAGAGTAAAAATATTTAGTTTAAAAAAAACAAAACAAATATTAACTTTTATAACTGGATGTTTATAAAGTCGAGCTGGTGGAAGACACTTTGACAGCATCTTGTTTGACAGCCGTATACATCATGCAATAGAGGACTCGGGTCAGACACCCGATACCCACCGTACTTCCGAGACGCACTGTTATTTTAATTTTTCAATCTAAATCATAACTTTTTTTAATTACAAATATCAATTTTATAAACGTTCGTTATCAAATGAATTTTAATGCAGGACAAATTTAAGCGATTTTTTTTTTCTATATTAGTACCGAATTTGGTCGATTAATCACTGTTTCGAATTGATATTTATGATTAATTTTTATTTAAAAATAGAATAAATATGTCATTGATTTTTTCTTCAGTTTAGATGCACGATAACACCCTTGGTATATTTTCAGAATATAAAACCTATCCCTTCCTGGGTTAGAGTCTTTGGACATTACACTTTAATCGGCCCAATCGATGGACGGTATCATAAATTTATCAGCAAATAGATCTTGTGACAACTGTTTAATATTGAATTATGGGTCATCTGGCAACAGTAAATGTGTTGCACGTCAAGATAATGCAAATTCCTGGGTTAGCATTAAAAAAATATTTTGATGAAAATGACTAAAATCTAAGCCTGAAAGTCATTTTAAATAAAGAAAATATTGTTGTGATCGGATTAAATTTTTAAACTGATATACAAATTTTTAAAATTGTTTGCAGTTTCTTCTGAAACCATGAATAAATCGAAAACTATACATTTGTTGAAATATTCAGGACACTCATTTTGATAGATAATTATTAAATCGCTTGCAAATTTTAAATTTTTCTATAATTGATAGAAAAAAATCTATATATTTTTGCGTTAACCGCCAAGCTAAACATCTTTGCATTAATAATTGCTACGGTAAACTACTCAATTCAAGATTGTTTTTGTTTTTTTAATTCTCATGCAATAAAAAAAAAAATCCAACTGATTTTTTTGCCACAAGCCATTAATGAAAACAGATGACAAAATAATGTTGACAATATTAACTAGCTTTGTTTTTCTACAGCTAGGACCAAATCTTGATTTATTTCCTATAATTTAAGTTAACGAATTCAGTAGGTAGAAAGAACATAGATTTGGAACGAGTTTGAATCAGACCAAGCCCACTACTAACACCTACCTATACAGCTTCTGGAATCTGGGTACCAAAATGGTTAACGATATATATATATATATATATAGAGAGAGAGAGAGAGAGAATCACATTTTTTTGTGAGTATAGGAGAATAATGATCTCCCTCAGTCGGAATGGAATCATAATATATATATCAGTGGTTTAACTGTCAGTAATAGCCAATATAATGATGGATGTGATCTATGGAGAATCAATACGAACAGAAATTAGATTTCTGCTCATGAAGTGGTTGAAAAAGCAAAATCAGATGTTTTATTTATTTTTTTTTATTAATTTAATTTTTCCACCCACAGCTGTCAGAAGTTCCAACAACCAGCGAGTATGATGTCGAGTTGTAGAAGATTGCTATAGGCGTGAGGGAGAGGAGTGCCCAGAGAGGCGTCCTTCCTTTCTTGATTTTAATATTTGCTGTTAGAGGAGGAGATTCCTATAAGTTATTGTAAAATATTTTGTAGTATGTTCGTATGTGGTCGTTAACTGTTGGAATCTGTAAGTCTTAATGTAAAGTAATGTTACTGACATATCAGGAAGTCTTGGTCATAGTCCTGAAAGTTTTTGATTAAAAAGTCTGTAGTTTACATATTTTTGGCTGTCCCGTGAATCTGTGAAGCGAAGATCCAAATGGGCTTAAGTAGGTAAGTAAATTTATTCACTTTCTGTCTTAGTTTTAATTTCAAATGTCTTGAAAGGAGTGAGTATAATAGCCGTAGTCTTAGGTTTAGAGTTTTTGTTTTGTTCTTGATATGTGGGTCTCATGTCATTCTTCTGTCAAAGGTCAGTCCAAGATATTGAAATTTGTTTGTCTGAAGTGTTTGGCTATTGTAAAGGTAAATAGTAAGGAAAGTTTCACATCGAAGGGT